TTGCATTGCGCGAGTATCCTTCTAGTATATATATATATATATATATATATATATATATATATAGAGAGAGAGAGAGAGAGAGAGAGAGAAAGAGAGAGATGAGTTATTATACAACCTCTTACATTTGTACAACCAATACAACTCAATCTCAACCGTCCATTTAATTTGATGAATATGTAATTTCATAGAAGTTTTGATTGTTTTCTAAAATAAAATATTGATCATAATTAATGAACCTTATTCATCTTCCATAAATATTTAAATCATAATAAATGAACTCTTATCATTTTCATAAATATTTCAATTTATTATGTTGCATTGGTTGTACAAATGCGATGAGTTGCATTTGAAACAAACTCTATATATATGAGATAATGTGAGAAGTTGGTCAATTTATAAGAAGTGGGAGAATGACTAGATCAGATGCGATTTTAGAGTGAAAACGCATCCAATACAACATATTCATAAGAACGTGTGTGACGACTTGGTCAACACGATAAAGGTCGCATGAAAACCCCTCCCGTAGGATGGCTGGTCAATCTGACATGTTTGTATCACATGTGATTTTACTTTATAACAATATATAAAAATACAATTAATTATCATAGTATTAATGGACCCTCGTAATGATGATATAAATAGCAATGCTATTATTAAATCAGATACTTTTTCCACGTGAGGGATGTATGAAGTAAAATTATTATAAAGGGTATTTTCGTGAAAGAAACCATGTCGACTTGGTGGTTTATTGTTTTATTTAGAAATGTGAAAAAAAACCGAAATCGATGGTGAAAACCGAAACTTTCAGGCCGAGTTCAAGACATCTTATCGGGGACGGGACGGGAATCGGGGACAAATTCGGGGATTTTAATGGGGACAGGGATGATCACTGGCTCGGCCCGACCCGATATATATATATATATATATATATATATTAATTTTAATTTATATACATACATACACACACATTCATACATATATATATATATATATATAATCTTTAAAAGAAAATAGTAACATTAAAATTTAAAAGACTTTTATCTACTTTATCTCAACAAACTCAAATAAGGCTCACAAAAAAATCTAGTTTATTTGTCTAATCGTGAAATTATGATTTTAGTTGTATAATGTTTGAATTTATGTTCAATTTTATATTGTAACCTTATCATTGTTTGTAATTGGTTCGATTATGTTTAAGACATTAAACTTACATCTTTAGAAAAATTGTAATATACTTTTAGTTGTGAAAATTAACATATTGTAAATTTTTTTAGATCGGGTTCGGTTATAACCAATGGTGAATGGGAAAAATAGGATCTTTACCCTTAACGGGTTCCTTAACGGGTTCCTCAACGGGGATCGGGTAAACCGCGGGGACCCGATGAGGATCTTCGACAGGGATCAGGGCGGTTACGGAGACGATTTTAGTTATCGGTTTCAGGGACGGAGATACCAACAACCGGCCCGAACCTGACACATTGTCATTTCTAGTTTTATTAAGAGTCCTTATATTATACTACTCATTATTAATTATAGTCTTTTTTTTCTAAATTAATTACAGTTTTAGTTATTATGATTGTTAATTTGTTTCACTTGTACCAATTAGCTAAGGGACTTATTGGTCTTTTTATTATTAAAAAACTAAATACACATATTATTATATTATAATCTGTATAGTTATTATTAATATATATATATTATTATAGGGTTGGGTTCACGTGAGACCAGCCTGTTTTCGTGAGACCCGTGAGACCACATTTTTACACGTAACCTTCACAACAAAAACACTGTAAAGGTTTAAAAAAAGTCAAACATTCACAGCAAAAACACTGTGAAGGTTTTAAAAAGTCACCTTCACAGCATTTTGCTGTGAAGTTTCAAGTGTAAAATGTTGGTCTCACGGGTCTCACGAAAACAGGCTGGTCTCACATGATCCCAAGTCTATTATTATATTTATAATATATATACATGGCTTTATTTATACATATCAAAATCTCAAAAACATTCTTTATAGCAATCATTATCTCCGACGACTACACTACATTTCGTTGACAATCTCATCACTTCCTCTCTATTTTACGGATCTTGACAAATACTCAAGTTGATCGAAATTGTATGACAATATCCATGTGAAAGAGCGGAAAACACAATTGTTTTTTTTTGTCTTCTTAACGATCATTTATCTTTCAATTTAGAACAGTAATTTCATAAAGAGCTGCAAATTCATTCCATATCTGTACCAAATCAATTTGGATTTAGTATATTTATATAAAGTTATGTGTATATATACTATAAGAGGACAAAACCAATACAAACTGTCTGAACGTTACAAATCTTGGCCATTGATTTTGTGTATTTTGAAAATTTTAAGCCGTTACCAAATCAGTTGCTAATAAGGTTGAAAGTAAACCACAAAGGTGGTGCCTGATTGATTTGAACTTGACTCCAAAGGTCAAAAGTACTAGGAGGTCTCAAGTTCAAATCCAAGGAGAAATAAAAATCCCGTGTGGTCACGGAGGTTCAAATGCGTTGACTGCGGGCTATCTACAAAGCAGGTGGTTGTCCTGGGATTAGTCGGTTCGCATAGCGGTTGGATATCCAGGTTAATAAAAAAAGGGTTGAAAGTACATTTCAGAACCGATTTAATCCACATCATTTACATTGATTTGATAATCAACACGAACAAGATTGACTTACATGGTATGTAACATTTAAGTGGTTTATATTTGATTTGACCTCTATACTATAAATATATAATTACAATAATATATATTATGGCAAATTACATGAAAAAAGTAACGTACTTTAACTTAATTCCTATTTTGAGTAATGTACTTTTAAAACTTATATTTTGGTACCTAAGATGTAAAATTTTAAACATTTAAGTATCCGAGTAACCGGTTGAAACATTAATCGGTTACCATGTTGATGTGGCGAAGGATGTGGTATTCGATTAATGTGTCAACAAATAATATTGAGTTGGATACCACATCAGCATGGTAACTATTTTATTAATTTCTTTCTTTAAGTGGCCATTTTTTAAATTTTGTTTAAAATAGTTTTTTTTAATTAAATATTTAAAAAAACAAAAAAAAAAAAGTTTATCTTTGTTTATGAATATGAATATTAAGAGTTAATGGGATGGATATATGATTATTATTAAAATGTAAAACAATTATTAAAGGTAAATTTAGCATTTAGTTAATTAAAGTGTAATTATTACAACTTTTAAAACTATATACTTATTTCATTATTTAAATAAATAATTGATTACCAGCAATCTCAACCAGTCCTACATGGAACTGTCCCCTAATGTGAGGGAGCATTTATTGGCTCACACGGAGATTGATGCTAGCAGGGGGTCTAAGATCAAACCCGAACCTGTCTTGTATTTTAAATTCTCGATTTACTCAGTATGACAGTACAATTAAATGACTGGTATTGATTGGGTGCATGAAAAATCCACGTGTCAGTCTTTGATCTATCCTAGGTTTTTTATCGTAAAATATTAAGGTCTTAGGTTTCGATAATAAAAATGACGAAAACCAATTAAGGATTTTCACTGTACAGATATTTAATAACAAATGTTAGATTTTTTTTCTCACAAAGATACAAATTTTATATATAAAATGCACACATCATCACATATGTGATATCCATTAGCACCCTATATAAGGAGATGAAGTGATTGAATGAAAACCCACAACTCTTCTTCCACCTCTCAATTCTCTCTTGTACTTGCATTTCAAAATTCTAATTTGAGATGAAATCAATTTTTGTTTTCTTCTTTTTCCACTTTTTGACTCTGTCTTTTGCCAATCCCGGCATGAAAAGACAACACTACCCTTGCAAAAACCTAGTTTTATATTTCCATGACGTTATTTACAATGGTCAAAATGCTGCCAACGCAACTGCTGCTATTGTAGGTGCACCCCAATGGGGAAACCTTACAATTTTAGCCGACAAATTTCACTTTGGGAACGTAGTGGTTTTTGACGATCCAATCACTTTAGACAACAATTTTCATTCGGTACCAGTGGGCCGAGCTCAAGGGATGTATATATATGACACCAAGAACACCTTTACTGCATGGCTAGGGTTTACCTTTGTGTTGGATAATGCACAACACAAAGGAACCATAAGCTTTATTGGGGCTGATCCGATTCTGGTGAAAAGTAGGGATATATCAGTGGTTGGTGGGACTGGAGATTTCTTCATGCATCGAGGGATTGCAACTATTATGACTGATTCTTTTGAGGGGGATGTGTACTTTAGACTTCGTGTGGACATCAAGTTTTACGAATGTTGGTAATCAAAAGGAGTAAGTTCAATGTAATTGCAGATTTGCAGTCGAACTATTCTTATAAGAAACATAAGAATATTATCTCAATTATGTCATCTGTTATTGAAATCAACTTTTACAGGATATGAGGATTTTATTGTGTTTTCTTTGTAATCATAATAAAACAAGTGTGCTTTTATTCAACGAACTTTTTCCTTCATCATAAATAGATAACCCTACTTTCTCGGTTTTTTTATTTAAAAAAACACATAAAAGTTTCAACTTTTTGGTGATACTTGTCACTTTTACAATTAATACGGTTGTTCTGTGAATACTATCAATAATCAAGTTTAGACAAAACTACAAAATAGAAAACAATTGTGTAATTGGGCTTATTAAACAGGCTTTCGTGGCCCGTTCTTTCTATAGGCCTGTTGAAGATACTTGGCGGTTGGCCTTATTTAAGGCCCATAGAGTTGTACCCCTAGAAACTACGTTTTGAATAATTTAAGTGATATTATATAAATTAGGGGTATTTCTGAATTGAATTGATCGGGTTAAATGTATTTGAACAATCCAACCTAATGTTTGTGGTTTAAAAAATCTCAACCCAACACAACTCAAACTAAAGTGCAACTTAAACTAAACAAACCAAAACGCAACCCAACCCGAAACATACAGATTGGTTGGGTTGATTTTTTGGTACATCAAAATATTCTTCTAACATTTGATATGTTGTTTTCTCTAATCTACTTATAATTTTTTTCTATCATCAACCACTTGGTAGAACTTATTTGTACTTCTTAAATCTTAAATATATATATTCAATTAATTTTCTCAATTTATATATATATATATATATATATATATATGAGCAATCAAATACAAACCGCCCTAATTTGTACAAACCTTACAAACTAATTACAACCAATTACATAAATCCATTTGTTAAATATGGATGATTTGAATTTACATCCAACCAATTAATTTATAAGGGTATTATGGTCATTTGATTTTGCAATAGTTATGTTTGATAATTATTTAATATTAATAGATAAATTTGGTAACAACATAATATTTATATGAATATGGATGATATATTGATTAGCATAATATTAGCAAAGATTTAATTAAGGTATCCATTAATTTTTTTTGAAAAAAATCTCCGCATTTTAAAAATGTAGAATGATTTTGTTTAAAATAATCGCCACTAATTTCCAATGAAACAAACTCAAAGTGTTCAATGAAACAGGGTCATATATGATTGTATCAGGTTTATATGTATGACAGCTATAAGCCTATAATGATACAAGTTTATATTCATAGGTATGTATAACAGTTTATAATTAAATAAGTTCATATGTATAACAGTTGTAAAGAAACAAGTTCATAGGTAATATGTGATTGCATCAAGTTCATATATATAACAGCTGTAATGAAATAGGTTCATATGTTATATATGATTGCATATTCATATGTATAATAGAGAGAAGTGGTGATCTCATCTTGCTTGCTGGGACAGAGGCCTCTGGAGCCGCCCCCCGTTCTGGAATTTGGAGCCAGCGGGTTCTGAATGACCCCCCTCTCACGGTTAAAAAAGGGAGAAGGCTTTCACCTCAAATCCAATTGAAACAGGTTCATAGAACATGTTTTCCTCCTTTTTCGCCTTCCGTGTCTCCAATATGAGTTCTTTTTTTTGCTTTATTTATTTAGTTTGTTTCAATCTTGACATTTCATCATAAAAAAATGGATGAATGTGATTAGTTTGTAAGGTTTGTATGAAATGGATAGTTTGTAAAGTAAACGTCTTACACACACACACACACAGAGAGGATTGGGTTCCAGTAAGAAGAATTAAGGTGGGAAGCGTAAGAAGGGATCTCTATTTTTAGATGCACGAAATGCACCGGATCAATCCTCGTATCAAGCATGATTTATGGGTGAGTTTGAGATTAAAGATGATCAAAGTTCCAAGTTTCTTCTTACGCTTCTCATCTTAACTCTCCTTCTCACAGTTAATGAATATATATACAAAGGAGCTAGTTACATAGAAATGGAGAATAAATTAAAAATATATGTATATGAAGAGGATATGTGATGGTGTAATTATCGATTGTACATATTAATAGAGACTCAACAATCATATTAAATCCAATAAATAAAATGATATTGAGTTCATCTTGTTTGATTGGGTTCAGATAAAAGTAACTCAATATCAACCCAGTACCTGTGTTTTGAAGATTTTACAACTCGAGCAGACATTGGGTTGTTTCGGATTGAGTTATTTCACGTTGGATTAATTGGATTGGTCAAACTTTTGAACACACCTAATATAATCAAAATATTGATAATGGACCCCTAGAAACTTGCGGTTTTTTATGAGTCCTTTTTTAACTATAGATTTTCAGATTAGCTTGTGCGTATCTCGATTAATCTCACGGACCAATAGAACAGAGAGAAAAACCTTCAGTTGTGTTCCGTTTTCTTACGTGCCTTCAGTGGTGGACGAGGGCGGAGCCACCTTGGAGCCACAAGGGGCATTGGCTCCCCCTCAAATTTAAAAAATGGAAATTTGATATAGTCCCAATTCTCAATTAACCACTTAAAACTTTATTTGTTCATATCAAGTTTTCTAAAAGTTGTAAAATAAACATTGTTAATTTATTGAATATACAATTTTTTAATGATAAATTTCATGTGTTTTCAAAGGGTTTTTTCTTATTTGTATGATTATCTTCTTTTTCTTCATATTTGTATTATTATCTACACACATCTTGTATTTGTTTGTATAACTATTTTTTATGACAAATATTCTTAAAAAGCGTACGCACTTAAAATGGTTTTTCAACCTTGAAATCGTGAATTTTCTTACATTCTTTTCTAGGCACCCCTAGAAAAAAAATCCCCGTTCCGCTCCTGGTGGTGGACCCATAATTTTTTATTAAAACCGGTGTCTTTTTAAGGTGGATCAAAGACATGTAAAGCTGAATCATGTTTTTTTAGGTAAATTCCACAGTTTTGAGGAATTTTTTCAAGTTTTTGGTTAATTTTTTTCAGTATACGCACCTTTTATACCCACAAAAGAATTCTACTTGCAAAAATCATTTAAAACGGGTGTACGAGATCCCACTTGGATCCACGTAAGTTCGTCCCGTCAATCCTGTAATCGGTTATAACTAGCTTGGTTATGCTAGCTAGGGTTTTAACGGGTCAAGCCAATCCCTTTTATCTCGTTCTTTCGAAATCCGAAATAACCAAAATTGACCGTAGGGCCTAGACCCAAACAAATTTAAACCTATATCGATCCTACACCCAATAAGTGGGAAAAAAAAGTCGTCAAATAATTGAGGTTGATCCAATAATCGCATATTATATTAAAAATATGTAACATTGAAAAAGAACAAGATGGAAAAGAGGGTGGACCAACATATTTGAAATGCGTGCCTGGTTGTTTGTAACATGTCCCTTCAAACCCACACAATCTCATATAATTTTATGATAAAATGTATAAAATAATAACTTATTTTCATAAAAAAAATTATTATAGTATTATATTTTTGTTTTTTTTATTATAATAATTTACTTTCAAATTATTTTTTATTAAGGCATTGTACTTTAAAAAATCTACCTATAATAGCAATGAATAACATGTTACATTTTAAACCGGTTAACCCTTTGACTTTTTTGCTTGTGTGGCTTTTAATGAGGTGATATGGATGCCACATCATTATGATGATTTAACTAAAATTAAATTAAAAACCTATTTTAAATTATTATTAGTGATTTTCATTTTTCATTGCTATGATCTAAAAAAACATTTTTTTTTACTTTTTCTTATTAAGTTGCATTCAAATTAAATATTCTTAGAGTAAAATATTTATTAAATAAATACGAAACAATTATTTTCGAGATATATTTTGTTTGTAAAAAATGTTAATTTTCTTATTTTATGTTGTTCAAATAAATAAATATATTTTATAGTTCTCTTTAAAGTATTAACGAAATAAATTGTTATCTACAATTTTTTAATATTGTTATATTAATAAATAATTCAAAAAAGTTTAATTAATTTAATATATTTATACGTCAAGTAAAAAGT